GTCTACCTAGACTGGATCCTCCAAGGACGCCGTCTACCTAGACTGGATCCTTCCAAGGACGCCGTCTACCTAGACTGGATCCTCCAAGGACGCCGTCTACCTAGACTGGATCCTCCAAGGACGCGGTCTACCTAGACTGGATCCTTCCAAGTCCCTGAAAATAAGGAGACCGGAAGAGTTTAGGCTGTGAATTCAAACAGGTCTACCCTTCGGCGGGTTTTACCGCCGGAGGCTATGTTGCTTAGCAACCGTGAAAGTTGACACACAAAGCAGGAAAAGAATGAAAACTGAAGTTTTCAAAACTGTTTTTTTTTTTTTATTATAAAGTGAACAAAGACTACATTCACAAGAATCCAGAGTGGAATAAAGGAACCAGCCACCGGGAGCAGGAACCAATAAAAGCAAATGTTGTTAAAACACTAAACATTACAGTATTTTATTGTTCATATTTTAACTCTTCCCCATTTACATAGTAACAGATAAAAACCTTACAATAAACCAAACATTACCGCCACATATCTGACACAATAACTATTAGAATAATTATTTTCATTCATTTCAGACGGAACTATTCACAGAGTTGTATTATATTAAACTGAACTTCCAATTTTCACCACTGTTCGGCGCCAAGTAACATTTCCTCTGATCACGGAGCAGCCATCTTGCTTAGTCTCGCAATGAATCCTGGGTAAACCAAGGATACCGAAGATACATCGGACCCGTCCTTTAAACCGGGCAAAAAGGACGCATTTTGAGGTCGCATAACGAGGACTCTTGGAATCCGACCAGACCTCGTTGCCTCGCTATGACGTAATCGTCCTTCGAATCTGGCCTTCTGAGGACGGAGCCAAGGCCCATGAAGAGACTTAGAGGCACACCGTGCAACTTTTGGCCACTCGAGCTTTTATGTCTAGTGCCCCTAGTGGCAAAAGCTAGTCTAGGTTCAGGGCAAGAGAAACGCTGATGCATTCTGGAGAGCACCATTGGGGTAGGCCAGGCCGCGCCGGGGCAGGCAGAGAGAAAGGAGGTGGAGCTCAAGTTAAGAGCCACGGGGTCGGACAGGGCGTCTTGGTTAGCCTTAGTTTGCAGCCTGCTAGCTTTCTTTGCCTGTATTTAGCTTCTACTGACCATTATAAATAATAATGTAGATCTCGGACTGTAAACTAGAAGCAAAGTGTTAACAGTCCCAAAAATAAAGTAAAGTGAATATATTTTCATCTGGCTTCTTAATTCATTCTGCGCCGACAAACTCCTTTCCAAGATTGACTTGTTGTTCCTGGAGCCCTGTCACGTTTCCTCTTTTTAGCCTCAGAAGGTTTTAACTATTTCCTTGCCTCAGCCGTGACCAGTAGATAGCCAGCCGTGACCAGT